GGCACGAGCAGACATTGCTGCGTCGCAAAGTCAGGCAATCCCAGGCCTTGGCGTGGCCGACATTAAGTTGTGGCTACCTTCGGCAATTCATTCTCGCGCAGGGAGCAATCATATGACCCGCGACGGTTGTACGGAGGAGATTATGACGTACAAGTTTCGTCTCCGGATTGGACAAGCTAATGAAGCCCTGGACACCGTCCGCCGTCTTCTTTTGATCCGAACTCACCTGTACAATCAAAAGGACCGATATGCCCGAGGTGTCAAGGCAAATACCCGATCAAACACAAAGATTGCATCGACAGTGGAACAAATCCGTCGGGCTGCTGCCATGTACCAAGCAGCCTGGAATGCTTTGCGAGTACTTGGCAAGGAGATGCTCACCGACAGGCACAGCAACAGCGTGATTTAAGAGGCATGTTTACTCATATGTGGGCCGCTCTGCCAGCAAACTTGGTGTTAATGGCCTGTGTCAAATTATTCACCTTTATTCTGTTAATGGCCTGTGTCAAATTATTCACCTTTATTCACCCATACATGTTGGACTTAGCGAAAAAATGACCTTGGACTTTGGAGATATTCACCCCCATCTCCACCAATTATTCACCACTTAGGCAAAAATGAAAAGACTGGCTGTTATCAGTGCCAACCCGCTGGGTTGCCACTGATAATGTACAGTGGTGTCGAGCGTGGAACACGTCGAACGGTGGAAACTTGCTGGAACGGCCATCCGGGCCATCTTTGACCGGTCGGACATCGGCCGACACGTGACACGACCGGGCCGGGGCCGGCCGAGCCAGAAACACAAAACTAGCCAATGGCGGACGCGTTTCGGCTCGAACGGCGTCGCGGGTGGTTCAAACACACACCCAAACGCAGGGAGGTGGATAAAACGCAAGGTGAAACCAAACGTGTGAGGTGCGACGCGTCGCAAGTGGGCGAAATATTACAGTGAAACAGCACGTGACCGTGGCCGGGGCGGCCAGGGCCATCAAAATTAGATAAGCGAGTAGTATATATTGAGCCCGAGTTTGTGCTAGATACCTCAGAATTCAATGCACCCCCATAGCGGTTGTCTTGCTCCCCATAGTGGAAAGGTCTTTGACATTGACGACGACGACGACGAACACTGTGATTACGTGATCCGAACACAAGAACGCTACCCGACGACACCGAGACTACCTGAGAACGCCGAAACTATCGCCAATTTGTCTGATATACTGGAACTATTGTCAAATTTTGGACATTGAAGTGCCAGGTTGATGTGAAGACATAAAGATGGGGAAACTATGCTCAGATGTGCTTCCCTTTATGGAACGTCGCCCTCTTTGGATGGAGCGACCCATATTGGAGTTGTTTATGCCATTTATGGTGTGGCAACTGATGCTCTTGATGCTAGCTGTTCTACTCTCAAGGATGAAGACAACACAAGGGACAGGTAATGTATCTACTTTCATTAACAACATACCAGCTGTGACTGTGACTGTGACTGTGACCACTACCATTTTGGGTTTTGGTGTTGGTTTTGGGTTGGGACCATTGTGGAGTGGGTTGTTGTTGTGGGGATGTTTGGCCACAAGAGGCATACTCTGTATGTCATATTTGTCCTATCCTACATCAACACCTCCTTCCTCTCCACCCAACCTAACATCTTCACTACCACCACCACCACCACCACCACCAGCTTACAAACTATCAACATCATCACTGTCATCAGTGATCCCATCACACACACACCACCTCAACTTAGTCATCATCATCTTGCTGCAATGGGTTGCAGCATGGATATACTTTCTATGGAGCCCCGAACACACAGACCTTGATTTAGGTGTTTTGGTTGTTTGTGGAGTTGTTTCTGCATTCACCATTGCTCTCATGTCACGCCTTTCAGCAGGATTAAGTTGCAGGTGCAGGTGCAGGATAAACAGGTGCAGGTGCGGTTAAATTGCAGGTTACCAACATTGCAGGTGCAGGGGAGTCGAGCCATATTGCTCCTCCATCAATACAATCACATAACTCTTTGTTTTTGTTCATTGCAATTGAAAGCAAACCCAAACAATTAACAACAATTCTTTGAAGTAAACTTTAAATTCGCTAGTTGTTTCCTGCAACTCAAAACCCCGAACTCACACACACACAATAGTCAGGATTTGGTAAGCTAGCTGGTCACACTTGGCTAGCATCACGTAGGTAGTATATAGGATGTAGGTAGAAGGAATATGATAAGTAATATCTCCGAAGAGACTGGAGAAGACAAAAATTCATGTATGAATGCATAAGCACATTATACATAGATGGAAATGTGCCTGGCTTGGCCACAGGCTACATGAAGCACCCCCAGCCCTGAGCGTACTGAGGCGACTCCAGGGAATGGACGACGCTCACCTGAGGCGCTCCCAGCCACAAGAGCGCAACAAGGCAGCTCTGGGCGGGAGACCAAACTCGAGGCAGCCTGCGGCCAGCACGACACACGACTGGGTGGGAACCGACGCCAGAAGCGAGCAGCCGGCCCCCTCAAAGGAGCAGCGCTCCAAAGCGAAGTGCGGCCGGCAAACACAAGGCAGCAGCAGGCACCCCACCCGGAGTGCTGCGACAAAGGGAAGGGGGAAGTGGGAGAAGAGAAAGGAAAGGAAGAACAGGATGATAGAAGCGCACCACAACCCTAGGAAAACTCAGGGACAGCTGTCTTCAGCCTAAGAGGAGGCTCCAGCAGTGCTTGAGGTGACAGAGACCCAAGAGTTGGTGAGCTTGATGCAAGACCAGATAGTGCTGCCAGTAAGCAAGAAAAGGAAATGTCTCAAGGACAAGGAGGGGAAGGTGTCACAAGGACAAAGAAGGGGATGTGTCACGAGGACAAAGGAAAGGGAGGTGTCTCAAGGACAAAGAAGGGGAAGTGTCTCAAGGACAAGAAAGGGGAAGTGTCACAAGGACAAAAGAGAAGAAAAGTGTTAAAATGTCACAAGGACTGGTCTCAAGGACCAAGAAATGAAGAAGGAACAGAAGCAATGTAAAGAAGGAAATAAAATGTCACAAGGACATGTCTCAAGGACAGAGAGAAAGAGAAAGGAGTCACAAGGACTCAGGAGAGGGAGATGTAACCTAGACAGAGGGTAGAGAACCAGAGAACGCGCGAAAAGGCTTGAAGGCGAGGCTAGATGGTGGTGCCGAGCTAAGGATGAATGGGAGTGACCTGTGTGACATATCAACTGATGGCCGCCGCCGAGTGCTCTCCAGCTAGCTTATCTCTCGCTAACCGCGGCTCGTTCCTCGCCCTGGCTAGCTGCCAATTTGGTTAGACTTTGATTGATCATTGATCTGCTCTACTGCTCATTTTCTAAAGTGTATTACCGGAATCGAAGTTTTCGGCTAGGCAATGGCACAGGTAAGCCATACCCGCATGGGTACACGGGTTTTACCCCCGTGGGCACGGGTATGGATTGGAAAATTCTTACCCGCCGACCCATGGGTACATGACTCATGGGTAGATCAGATAAGATATGCCATATCAATTGTTCACCGCATGCAAGCAAGATCATGTCCGCATCCAAGCAAAAGCACTTCAGCAGCATCTATAAAGCTCAAGCAAAAATGTTAAACTAGGAAAAATATCAGTCTTTTGGGTTTAGAATTGACAATACCCATGAGTAAAACCCATACCCATGGGTATGGGTATGGGTATGGGTATGGGTATGGTGGCTGTGCAGGTATGAGTATGAGTAAGGCTCTGGATACCCAGGGGTTTACTCATGCCATTGCCTACCAGCAATGATGTTTGGGGTCCGCCAGTAGGGCTTGGCACCGTAGGTACCATACATGGTACAGGGCCTTTTACAGGCAATATGGACCTTACGGCGTACGGACAAGGCACTGGCCGGCCTTACCGTACGGTACGGTGTACGGGATACGGACATCTACGTCGGGTAGACCGGCCGCGTATCACGGCCTCAGCAATGCCAAGCCTGTGTTTTCGACCGGATTGACCGTTTCCAGGCGGACACCAGTCATCAATTACAAATCCGTGGCCCAGGGAGCTGGAACAGTGGCCCAGTGATCCCATCACCATATCAGCCCCCACATACGGAAACCTGGCAATCCTGTCCAGTTTAGGGTGCTGTGAGTAATGCAAAAAGCATTACTCACACCGGTTTCGAAACCAGTTTCAAAACACCCCCCGTTTCGAAACAGTTTCGAAACCGGCCGGCCGGGGAGGCCTGCTGACAGTCGGCAGCTGGGGACGGGCCCGGGTATGATAATTCTGAGGAGTATGCCATGGGCCAAGGCCAGCTGGTGGCCGAGACGGCTCCACTGCCGCGGGAACTCACCTGCTTGGCCTTCGGTAGGTGATCGCAGGTGATATTCTGAAGGGATCAAGCCCCGGCAGTCAGGCCCGGGCCGCCCGGAGGATCACATGTCGGTTTCGAAACCAGGTCGGCTGGCCATCGATTTCAAAACTAACACGTGTTTCAAAACCGGTTTTGAAACTGTTTTGAAACCACCATTACTCACAGCACCCTAGTCCAGTTGATCCTGTAGAGAGTTTCTTCTGCTGTAAGGGCAACCCTGGAGGCCTGAGATCAAGGTTCATCAATGCACCTAATTGAGGCGGTGATGCGATCATCGGAGTCGGAATCAGAATCGGGGCGATTCCGGCGGGCCGAAAGGGTGGTTCCCCTGACAGATGCTACCAGATGCAAATTTCTTTTTCCTGATGAACAGGCCTTGGTTGGTCCGGAAAGCCACTTTCCACTCATCACTTTCTTTCATCTGGACGTTGTTGAAGTCCCAACAAATGTTGAGTTTGGTGAAGTAACAAGCACAGTTGAGCCAGTTGATGAGATTTTTGATCAGTGGAAGGGGGTACCGGTCCTTGATAGTCATTGCATTCACACTCACTAGTGCAGACTATTACCAGGATGCAGGCCGCTACAACTTGACATCAACTTGCAAAAACAAAGTTCAGGACTATTTGCAGTAGCATTGGTAGCCGGACATTTGTCCCTATACTACGAGAAGTGCGGGTTATCGTGATCTACTATTTGTTGCAGATTCAGATTTATCACCAGCTGCTCAATAGCCGTCTTCATATCCTCGCAATTCCAAGCGTCACATTGCATGCTCTCGACGTGTGCCCAGAGACCACTCAGCGTGGTGAACCGGCGCTCACACTCAGGGGCGCGACAGATGAATGTCGTCGCCCCATGCCGGGGACTTTTAAGGTGCTGTTCGAGCGCGGAGCGTGAAGGGAACTCCGTGAAGCAGATAGGGCAAGGCAGGCCGTCGTGGTTGCTTGCTGGGTCTTTAAGATCAAGTAAGGCGAGCTTGAAGTCAGGATAATCCCCGCGGACCGCGCGTGGTTGGACTGTAATCATAGACCGAATGTCGTGCGTGCTGATCCAATCGATGATGGACTCGAGATTTGCACCAGACACACAGCCGCCGGACTCGAGGTGCGCTACCGCGGCCGGGCGGGTGGCGAAAGACTGATGGCACCATGGACACATGATGGCATAGCCGCTCAATTTATCGTCTAGATGATCTTGGAGCGCTTCGGCAGAGTCAAAGAGCTCGCTGCAGGGCACACAATAGTAGGGATGGACTGTGGACAGTGATTCAATGTAATGCTCGTGCAGCGCTTCCTCGTCCTTGAATGCCTCCTGGCAGGGACTCGGATCGCAGTGTGCGCAGCGGAAGTCATCATCTCGACGGAAGTCATCATCTACTCGATGCCAGTGGTCTTGGAGCGCTTGAGCAGAGAAAAATATTTGGCGACACGGAACGCAATAGTAGGGATGGACTGTGGACAGTGATTCGATGTAATGCTTGTGCAGCGCTTCCTCGTCCTCGAAAGCCTCCCTGCAGGGATCACAGTGGAAGTGTGTGTTTTTCATGTGCGACCACCCAACAAGAGAAGCCTTATTTTCGAGGTCCGAGTACTTGTCGCAAAATCTGCAGTATGCATGTGCGACGCTTTGGTGTTTGCGCAGCCCCGTCCGGGTTCGGCAGTCGATGTCACATTTTGCGCAGAAGAAATCGAAAGTTTCCCCGCGCATATGACTCGCAAGCGCGGCGTAAGTCTTGAAGTACTTGCCACAGCAATCGCAGCCGCCGTGGATACGATTCAAGTTGGCTTTCTTCGTCACCTTCAAGATGGTGGTCAGCTGGTGGTCGGCACCGGAAAGCACAAGGCGCACCATTTCAGTGGGCGATGTACATGAGGTCGGACTCCTAGGTGGTGGTGGTGGTGGTCTGCCAGCAAGCAAGGCGTGTTACAGGTGTCACAGCGACGTAACACGCCTCGCACAAACCTCGTGGCGACTCTTCTTCTTTCCCAGGTCCCATGGTCGTCATGGGGCAGCCTCACGTACGCCTGTCGTCGACGACAACCTAGTTCGGCTGAAGTTTCCTGCCTTTCTCGCCTTCTGAGTCCGCAACTTCCCTCCAGAGTACGGGCACCCAGAGCGGATCTCGCGACTGGCGCGACGACCCATCGATGAATCCAGGGCCCCGGTCATCGGCTGGCCAACACGCCGAGCGCCTAAAGGCTGTGCAACACGCCGTCGCAGTGTGGCGCCTGACGTGTAATCCAGGGCCAGTCCTGCCCCACGATCCACGGCAGCCAAAAGGTAATCGAGTTTAATCGCGTTCGAGTATACTTATACTTTCACAGCTGCATTGCGTGTGTGCATCGCCGTCCGCCCATCGACAGACTTCAGGCTGCCCGAATGGAGCGCATAGCTCCGCCGAGCTGGTATTCGATGTGCCATAACCGCTGTCGCCGCCGCTGGCCGGTAGTAAGTGTGCAACGCCATGCCTTATGCTCCGACCCAGCTGCGTCCCTGTCCATCTACCTTATCCCAATCGTATCCATCGATGGCGATGGGGCCGCCAAACCTAAATCTCCAGCTACTCGCTATTTTCTGCGTGCGCCGCCCTCGAGGCACACTTTTGCCTCGATAGAGCGCTGCTGTTGCACCCACCACCGCAATCCTGCACTTTTCTTGTCGAATGGCTGCCGGTGACTCCGATGCTGGGCGACGACGCGGCGTTTAACGCAGTGCCAGCGCTATAAATGGCACTCGGTTGCGGAGACGGGGATGCTTTAAAGATGGGCTCCGTAGTCTCCGCTTTCCAGACACAGATTTAGCTGCTCTACCCTCCCGATGGCCTCCAATCATGCACCTGCAGGCCCTAGCAGCGGCCCATATCCCTCGACATCGCGGCGCCAGCGTCGCCGCGAAATTGTTGGTGAGTTCCAGTTCGCTGCTGCCTCCCCGCTTCCACCTGACAAACACGGCAGACGACCGCGAGGAAACCAAGTTCGTCCCGAGCCCGCCCCGTTCCCATACGCCCCATCCTCGAGGCAGCGAATTCGACACAGCGAAAATGGGCCGCGAGCTCGTTCGCCCGCTCACCGCACCAGGCACCGCACCAGGCCATCGTCTGCCTCGGCCAGCCACAACCAGCGGTATATATCGGCCCTGATGATTGTTTCCCCCACTGAGCGTTATCAGGCCAGCGTTCCCGCCATCCAGGTAAATGCTATTCAATCGGGGGTGCAATGGGGTTGTTGAAGCAAGTTGGTAGCGGATATGCACGGCGCAGGACATCGATCGCCGAGCCCAGATGCTAACGCCGGTCGCCCAGCTTCGCACCGCGACTACGAGCAATACAGAGCCCAGACTCCGTGTATGTCGTGTTCGTGACATCCATCGCGCTCATAACACTTGGCAGTCCAGCTTGCACCGCCCGTGCCCCCGCTTCCGCCTCTTCCACCCCCGCCTGTCGGCCCAAGCCCGGTCCCAGCGGTTGGCCGTCCCGCGCGGCGCGCGTGGCCGTGTAGGCAACTTCATCGTGGCGACTCCCGAGACCCAGGGTGCACCTGCAGCGCCACCGAAAGCGTGTCCCGTGTGCTTCAACCCTTCGCCAGCAAGCTGGCGCTTCGGCCAAATTAGCGACACGATGGTGTGCCAGCCGTGTAGCTTGTATGAGCGCCGTCTGGGCAAGAAACGCTCGCCAGAGTTGGAGGCGAAAAAGATGCTTCGGGACATGTCCGGCTGGAGAGGATAAAACATGCTATGTTGTATTTCAGGTACGATTAAACTCCAATAATGAATGTGCGCACCGGTATCATAATAATCCTTTTGGTGACCCGGTTATGAGATCCGTATAAGAAGGGAGGTATCAAAGAGCCGAACAACAGCAGGACGTGGCGTAGCAAGTTGGAGATGGTAGAGCGAATACAGCAACTTTGCCAACGAATGTGTGAAATGGATAGAAGTCGGCCGTGATTGGGGCTTGTAGTGGAAAAGTAGGGACTCAGAAGGGAAAAGACAAGTATAATGAGGCGGGGGGTATAGTAAGTAAGAAAAATAGAGAGCAGACCAGAAGCTGGGGCGATACGGATGGAAACTTCAAGAGGCATATGAGGTCAACCTATCGCCGGCGCAGAGAAGTTTTTAGGGTTGGAAGGAGAAGGAAAAGGGATGGAAGGGCGAAAAAAGGCCCTCGGCCAGCGAAATTTGGGCCTGGGACTGGTAAAAAGTACTTTTTAGATACCTGGTTTGTAAACCGGCCTATAAACCTGGTTTTTGGGTTCTCAGTACATATAAACTGTTTTTGGACCAACTGAAAAATATAAACAGCACCCTATCAATGGTGTAGTAAGGTGGCTGGCGCGAAGGCTGAATTGGGAGGATAGAGCGTTGCAGAATACATGTTGCAAGGAGATAGGATGAGTCTGAACAAGGCATGAGTATAGCGCGGTGGAAAGAGAGATGTTGGGACGCACGGTGCATCCGCCACCAAAAAACCGCTCTCCACCCTTCTGATTCCCTTCATACTCTTGTCGTGTGTTCATGGTGAGCAAATATGCCCATTGGAGCCGCACGAAAGCGCCGTTAGGCCGTCACCGGCTGGGTTGGTCGGCGGGCTCGCCGCAGTGTCATTGACAAGGCCCGACACTACAGCTGTCGACAAGTGGGCTGCGACGACGGTGAGGTGGCATAGCAAGGGGTGACACATGGCGGACCTTTTGTCTTACCAGCATGCTCGAGTGGCGCAACAGGTCGAAGGGAGAAAAAAAAAAGTGTGACGTGTCACATTTCCAAAACGGATATCGGTTGCTTCCGCCCTCCATCTCGCGTAAGTTATCGATGGGTGAACACTGACTCACATGCCACAGACCTGGCCTCATGTATCCTGACTACCCTCCGCGAAGCTTTGCGTGGGTCAACGCTTACGTCGTCCACTCGGCGCACAGTCAGCGACGCAGTCGGGATATGTCATACCGCTCAGCCGATAGATTACTTGGAGCGCCCGCCGCTGTGCAGGTCGAGTAAGCGGCCAATTGTCAATGCTGCTTCTTTTTCCACGCCTCCTGCCATGCTGCTGCGCCGACGAGCTTTCGAAGCTTGTCCGCCTCGAAAACGTCCCACGACATGCAGACCTTGACTCGAAAACCGTGGAGGGGTGGCTTCTGCCGAGACATAATCGACGGTCCTGGCGGGAAATGAAGACGCCTTCACCTGCGTGCGCTTACTCGACGGGGCCCTGCGGCACCCGTTTCAATGAATCCTGACGAACATACTCTTGACAAAGCGAGAAAGCCCGTCAAGATAAAACTTTGGAGGCCCTCTGCCAGCTCCCCTCACTTTCTCGATGCTCTTCCAAATACTCGTCCCAATCTCAATCACGCTCGCCGTTTACGTCGTTCTCCATGCGGCACATCTTGCATATCGGACTCTATCCTCGCCGTTGCGCAACCTCCTGTCTGGGCCGCCCATGACCAGTGTCATCTTTGGGAACTTTATGGAGATGGCTGTATTTGCTCGCACTAATGGTATTGTTTATTTATTGAATATGCGTAGGACAATTTGAGCCGGCCCAGTGCATGGCGGAAAGAGTATGGACCCACCTTCATGTACCATGGGTTATTCGGGGTAGCCTTCCATCATATTCTCTGATCTCGTGCAACTCACTCTGTTCCAGGTTCCGGAGCTGCATACATCCGATCTCAAAGCGTTGAACCACATGATGGCCCACCCCCAGATATACCAACGAGCTGATACCGAACGCGATATGTCGCGGCGCCTAATGGGCGAAGGTAAGTACCCCGCCTGATCACGCTGGACTCTGTTCACTCACTCGGGAATAGGCATATTGTACGCAGAAACTGATCAGCATCGGCGCCACGTAAGTTTACCGAATTTTCCCGTTCCTTTTCTGATGACATTTTCAGCGACGCGTTTTGGTCAGAAATTGCAGAAATTCTTTTTTAATGGATCAGATCACTCATTGCCCGGACAGAATCCCGCCTTCGGCGTTGCCCAGATCAAGTTGATGACTGAAATATTCATAGAGAAAGCCCTGCACGTATGTCGGACGTTCGATACAACGATCGTTCAACTCACTTTTCTAGTTGCGCGATGTATGGGCCAGAGAAATCGAGCGTCAATCCAGTGACGAAGGCGAACACGGGACTATCGAAGTCCTTTCCGGTCTTCGTAAAGTCACCTTGGACATTATCGGTCGCGCAGGTGTGTTGTTTCATTGTGGTAGAATTGGACCTGCTCTGATCGTTGTTCTCCTCAGGCTTCGGCTATGAGTTTAACGCTCTGGAAGGCAAAACCAACGAGCTTAATCAGGCACTCACCGATCTTTTCCATTCACCTCAGGCCAACTTCTACGGAGCAATCCGGCTTATCCAGAGTTTTATTCCGATTTTGAAGCTTGTCGTGAGTCCCGTAGCACTAACTGGCTGCGGCTGTGATCAGTCTGACTCAAATCAATAGCCACTCCCGGGCACACGCGTTCTGCATATCGCACGTACCCGGATGGACGATATTGGGAGCCATATCGTCGAAGACAGCAAGGCGGCGCTGATCGCGGACAAGACTATTCCAGACGATAAGGGCAATATGCTGAAGGGACGGCGTGATCTTCTATCTGTGCTCCTGAAGGCAAATATGTCGGATGGGTTACCCGAGAGCCAGAAGCTGGCTGATGACGAGGTTCTTTCACGTACATGGCCACTTTCTCATTTCCTGATTCGAGATTCCTGACCTATTGGTAGAAATTCCTGCATTCTTCCTTGCGGGTCATGAGACAACAAGGTCCCTTTTGTCATTATCTTCTCGCCATATCCAACTCAATCCCGCCTTCAGCGCAGCGACATCCTGGGCCCTCCACGCTCTCTCGGTGAACAAGGCAGTTCAAGACCGACTCCGCGAAGAACTCCTCTCCGTCGGGACGGACAATCCGACGTTGGATGAGTTAAACGCGCTTCCGTTGTTGGAGAAGGTGATCCGTGAGACGATGCGCTTGCACGCGCCAGTCACGCATATACTCCGCAAGTCCATGATAGACGATATCCTGCCATTGAGCAAGCCCATCGTCGATCACACTGGGAAAGAGCACTGGAGTTTGCCGTGCGTAATTCATGGTTCGCTTGAAGCTTCTTGATATCATGATGCTCTTCGTAGGATCGCAAAAGGTCAAATGCTCCATCTTCCCCTTTGGGCGGTCAATACGTCAACCGAAACATGGGGCGAGGATGCGTTGGAATTTAAGTGAGTATCACAAACTCAACAGTTCTCCGAGTTAAAGACTGATTTCCCCGAGACCCGACCGCTGGGACCACATCCCCGAGGCCGCGAGCGCCGTACCGGGTGTCTGGGCGAACCTGTTCACCTTCTTCGCCGGACCACACAATTGCATCGGTTTCCGGTTTTCGTTGGCGGAGTGCGTCTCGCCCGTGTTGTAACTTCCGAGGCTTTCACTGACCCGGGCCTGCTCTGTCCAGATTGAAGGCCATTCTCTTTACCTTGCTTCGCGCATTTGAGTTTAGCCCGGCAGTCCCTGAGGGCGAGATTGGGCCTCTGGTAGCCGGAGTTCTGCAACACCCGGGATTGTTGACCAACAAGGAGCAGGGATCGGGACTTCCACTGGTTTTGACACCTGTGAAGTCGGCTGCCTAAGTTACTTCCTTACAAAAATTATAGAGGCAATGTCAGACCAGTTTTTCATATATGCGTGGATAACGATAAATTGTGGTTCCGAGTAGCCCGGTTGACTCAATAGTTCAGTGTTATGGGCAGTATATTGTATCAAAAGTTTTACAACAACTCTTCCCAAAAACAGTCAAAATTTAGGTACAACTTTGATTGTACCCTAAATTCAATGATACAACTTATTTTTACAGGTGCAACTTGCAACTTTTTATGCACAACTTCATGGCTGACAACTATTCCTCTCATCAGCAAGTTCACAGGAAGATGTTGCAGCTTAGAACTACTTGTTGCAACTTTTAACATGCAACTTGTAACTTTACACATGCATGTGCAACTTGCAACTCAGCATCTGCAATTTGTTACTTACTTTTAGCAACTGACAATCTCTTATAATGCAACTTTCAACAAGTATGATACAACTTTTTGACTTGATTCTGATGGAAGTAGAAACCAGGAATTTCTGAAAGATGGTCTTAGATATATGATAATATTCAATCATATCCATCACTTTGATCTACAATCATGGTAATTTTAGGCTAATTTCCTAGCAATGGCTAGACTAGCTGTGGGCTCGTAGGCAATAGTCTCTCACCTGAATGCCAGGGAAAATATATGAAAATATCTTGTGCACTTTTGAGGAAGCTATCTACCTCTTGCATTGAATACATTATTACAATTGATTAAATAAATGAGCTTCTTTAACTATCACTCTAAGTTCCACATTGCTCTGCATATAGTATATTATACTGTTTTTTTTAGTATAAGACTTGGATTTATTGTAGCAGTATTGCAGTTGTAGAAAGGAAGTTGCAGCCAACAACTTCCAAGTTTGTGTTGGTTGTTTAAAAGTTGCAGTCAACATGTTTGAAGTTGTAGTGATAGTAGACAAAAGTTGCTAGCAAACAAATTGAGGTTGTAGTTATAAAAATAAAAAATGCAGCTAACAACTTGCAATAATTGGGAGTTTGCAAGTGTCCTAAGGAAATTGTTTGAATGGTTTTGGAAGTTGTTCTCCATTAAAACATGTTGAGACTGATAAATCAGAGTTGTATTCAAAAAAAAAAAGGGCAGAAAAAAAGTTGAAAGTTGTAAAATACTTATGATACAGTATGCTGCCCATACAGTGTGAGCAAGCTAGTACAAAAAGTATGATATTTGGAATAGATTTTATTATCAAAAATTGTTGGTTTTCACAAAATCAAAAATATAGCTTGTCTTATGACAGTCAAAGTGGGGAAGTATTAATTTTACACACACACTTTGTGAAAATTTGAGTTTTCTGCAACATTTTGAAGGAAAAATTATTTTCCGCAACTTTCTTTTCTAAATTGAACAGAAAGCTGCAGATCACAGCCATTCTCAAAATCTGCAAAATATTTTGAGAGTTTACTGTTTTTGGAATGAGTTTTTACAGATAAAAACCAAGGCTTTTGAAAGGGCAACCCCAGAGGCCTGAGATCAAGGTTCTCGCAGGCCTACTCGGATTTCAGTTAAATGGTTCCATAAGCAGAAGTTATATATATATATGCAATAATGGTTGAAAACAATGTTACCATTCCTTTGAACCTGTTTTGAAACAGGTGATTACCTTGGCCACATACCACCGCCAGCCGCCAGTGATCAAGAACCAGGCTACAGGTTGCCGGGGCTGTGACATCCCGGGCCTGTTTGAAACTGCCTTTGACCCCCAAGGAATTCAAAACTCACACCTATTTGAAAACTGTTTTGAAACGGGTTTTGAAATGCCTTCAACTGATAGCACCCTATATATTGTGACCACCCCCTGACTAGCCTTGTTTTGTAATTGTAGACAAGAAGTGCATCTCATTTAAGCCCAAATATTTGCCAAAGAATACTGTTCATTATAATTACTTACAGTTACACAAATTTTTCATCTATAATGGCAATTTGTGACTTATTTCTGATATGCTAGGTACCCTTTAATGCTAGCCCTGATTCTTGATTTTATATCTGTGACATATCTGGTGCATTAATTTGGTGCAAAACATAGCCACAAAATTGTCAACTAATAGTGGGTTCAAGTTGAGTCCCTTCTGCCCTTTTTTCTCTACAAATCAAGTCTACTTTCCTGGAGTCTATTTGTCATCATGTCAATTTGTTAAAATAAAGACTTTTTCTTGAGTATAAATCCAATGGGCCCATTCTTTGACAGAAACCCCAGTGTGAGGGAGGATCCAAAGAGTAAAAATTGGTCAGCAAATACAAAGAAGCTGACCTAGCAGGGGAGGATTTAAAGAGAAGGAACTCTAAGGGTTCACCTGCTAGGTAGTCACCTAGGAGAATTGACAAATCTGTGATAGTATGAGTGAGGAAGAGTATCAGACTGGATGTCTGGGGGGCCAAAAGGGAGGTTGTCCTGCCAGTCTTATCTCAAATTTCTAAAGAAAGAACTTTATTATTATTTCCAAAGATGTACAAGAAGATTGTCAGGCTTCAGGTCAGGATTTTTATGAAAAAAGGGAAAAAAAAAAGACATAATGCTAATCATAGGAACATACTGCCCTATATGGCAGCAGGGGAGGGGGGATCTCCGGAGGGTCAGAAAAAAAACTTTCCAACCCTATATCTGCAATCCACATCTTGAACCCCCTTGCTTAATGATTGCTTTCTTGGTCAAACTGTTCTTTTGTGGAAACTATTTTTGTGAGCAAAAAAGGATTTAATTAGAAACCAATACTATTAATACACCTAGAAAATGAGCAAACAAGGAGATTACCAGGACCTTCAACTTAACTAATCAACTGCTAACTTTGTGCAGTTTGCATTCGAGGCTTGAGCCGCAGGAAACGGCTAATGGATTCAGATGTTCTTATTGATATCAGTTGTAATTGGATGTTGTATAAGCTCACTGTGATGAACCGAAAATAGCAGTCATTGGGTAAGAGGTCTGAGGAGTTGATATTTGAGAGGAGCAATCTGGCTCTACTCTCTTAGCACTTGCACTTGCACTTGCACTTGCACTTGCACTTTGCACTTAAACCTGAACTTGCACTTTGCACTTTGCACTTTGCACTTTGCACTTTGCACTTTGCACTTTGCACTTTGCCCTTGCACTTAAAGAAATTCAACTGATGTGACGGTGGTGGTGTCACAATGGTGTGGCAATCAGGGACACCAATTGTATTGATTTGAAAATTTCCCCTCTAAACCTGACTGATATGACGCTGGTAGCTGTCACAATCAGGAGGTCCGCCAGGGGTTTCCTTGTCATTCTATCTAATTTACAGGGCTCCTTATATACTACTGTGGAAATAATTATGTAATGTGTGACACTGTGACATGATCCGCTGATCCGCCTCTGGAATGTTCTAGTTCTGATTTCTGGAATGTTCTAATGTTCTATCTGGTTCAGAGTTGCCAAATACAAACATGTTACCACTTATTGGGTTTGGTTTCTAGACCGGGTCCATACCTAGAATTGGTTCACAACTGTGTAGACCATCCAGATGGTCCCTTCTGGAACAGACCTAAAGTCCAGCACAATTCTACTGGAAGTTCTATATATATGGCATGATTATTGTGCTTCAAAATAAATTTATAGAGCCCTCCTGACATTATTTACTGGTTGTCATAATAGCAACCTTTGGTGCATGCAGCTGCAGGTGGAGACCTTGCTTCACTTTAAATTTCCATTATCAAATTCTGTGGAAAGCTGAGGCTTGGCCTGAGCTGGAGCTTCACTGGCACCAGATATAAATATTAGCCAGAAGCCAGAAAAGCACCATAAACTAATTCAAAAGATTTGTAAGGGCAATCCTGGAGACTCCGACGAAAGCCTAGCAGGGGAGGATCCAAAGCGTGAATAAAAGCTACAGGAAATACACGGAGGGACCGACCTAGCAGGGGAGGATCCAAAGAGAAGAAACTCTAAGGCTCCGCCTGCTAGGGCGCCAACTATATACTGGTCGTCCATAACTGCCGACGTAGAGCGCAGAAGGCCTGAGCGGCGTCGCAGGCTCTGTCCCAAGGTGATCGTTGGGAGGGTCTTGACGGATCGGTGATTGTGCGGGTGAAGGAGGCCGTGGACGATGGTCGGAGTGGGTCGGAGCGTCCGAGGGGGTGCCGGTCGGATGTGCCTCGGATGCGCTCGGACGGTCCTAAGGAGGGCGAAGCAGGGGTTCCCCTGACAAGATTCTTGGAGAAGCGGGCCAGGAGGATGCAGGCTATCATATTAGTTTGATATTAGTGTGACTTGTTTGTTCATGTTTGTTCCTGACATTTACACTTGTTTGGCTGATGGAATTTCAACTGGATGGGCCCTTGTGGAGCAAGGTAATTGACAGCTCATTACTGCCATTTAAAACTATCTCTGGGGACTCAAACTGTAGGGTGCAGGATTGAATTATGGGGGGTTATTAAAACCGGTTTGAACTCCCAGCTGATTTAGAAACCGGTTTGCAAACAGGGATTGATTAAAATTGCCTAAAATGGCAATTTTTGACCTTTTGAATCATTTTCTGGGCGAGCATATGTATTCACTTGTTCTTTTACACCATTTCTTAAGCTTTCAGGGTACCCCTTGCTATCCTAAGTTATATTCTATGTTGTCTGTATATGGAGAGTAACAATAGTTGATTAGGATGTTACCTTTATAGCTGTAAGTATAGCTGCTGCAGCATGAGCCAAAGTCTGTCTAAAACCAGTGAATTGCCTAATTTTCCCACGGGTCATGTGTTTTGAAACAGCACTTTTCCTGGAAATAATTAAAAACAGCGGTTTGAAACAGCTGTTTCGGAACGCGGTTTGAAACACCACTTCAATCCTGCACCCTAACTCAAAGCCTCTAGGCTTGGATTCACCGGAGTGATTGCCCCATTCCTTCATGTGAGACAAAACACCAAGAGGTCTTGGGTATGTACTTGTAGTACCAGCGCGTTCGATTCTTTGTCGGCGCTCCTCAAACGTGTTTCCATCCAATCGATGGTCCAGGCCCATTGGCCATTCCGCCAAGCCTGAGAAGGCTTGGCAGCGCACGTGCGGGCCTAGTATCAGATGTGATCATACAAATTCTCACGTCACCGGCTCTTCTCTTGACCACCACATGCTTCCCGACGAGCTTCTCCTCGAAATCCTTCGCCATCTCCCCAAAGGCGACCTTTTCAGTGTCACCTACGCCTCGCGGCACCTCTGTGCACTTGCCCGCACCTTCCTATATACGGGCTTCACCTTTCACCCGTATGTCTTCGAGGCAGAGGCCGCCGTGCTGCGCTGTCCACCGCCAGAGCAATGCAACGAGCTGTTGGAGCAGCTGGCGTTCTTAGCGTCACAAGAGATAGCGCCGTACGTCCGCTTCGTACACGTTAGACTCAACCGGCTGCGCAGGAACCATCCCGACTTCGTGCGGGTCAACAGCGGTATATCCTTTGCGCTGTTTGCGGACGAGGACGACACCGATGCCATGCTCCCGCCCTTCTTCTTCACCTTGGAAGCTTTCCGCAATCTCCGGGTATTCGATGCACAGAGACTTCTGTTCACATCCACCGCGCTCGCGGCATTGGCCCAGCTGCAATCATTGGAACAGGTATCCATGTGGGACTGTACCTTGGCACTCTCCTTGCCTCTTTTGCCCACTCAAGCCAAAATGCACGTGGTGTCATTGAGCCTACTTCAGGGCGATGACCCGGATCTCTGGCTTCAGCTCGTCGTCCCTGCCGCACTCCGCAAACTGTACGTCTCGGGGGCCCACGAGTTCGGTTGCGCCGATTTCTCGTCGCTCCCTGTATTCGCGAATCTGGCTGACGTAACGATCCCGCTGCGCCAAGCCGAGCTTTCCGCCATGCTACCCCTGCTGAATGCTGCATTCCCGAGCATGGAGCTCCTTCGAATCGACGGCGGAAGTCGAGGCGAAGCCGACGCATACGTGTCGCCATCGAATGCATTTGACCACTTGAAGGAGCTCCATGGACGACGAAACGCTGCGGTTGCATTCCTGGCCCTTGCCAGCATCCACGTGCTCACGCTGCATATCACCGACGCGCCGACGCTGCTGGCCTCATTCGGTGTGCTGCCGTCCGCGGCGTTTGCAGCTCTCACAAATCTCTCCTTGCAGCTTGAACGCTGCGACACGAGTGAGCTGCTGGGCTCCATCTTGGGCCACTTCCCCGTGCTGCAAGCGTTTACCGTCGACCTCGCGCTTGATCGCCATGCGCACCGCGCGGCCCGCCATTCGGTGCGTCCCTTCTTTGCTCTTCCTTGTTGTTTGTAGCCAACAACTGTCCCCCACAGATCCTCGCGCTGGTGACGACCCTCCCGCCGCTGCTCCCTCCCACGTTGCACATCCTCCGACTCTATGCCCAGGCATACGGGCGCCCCGATGCGGTTGGCCCCGATGCGGACTACGCTATCCCGGACCCTCGCGTGGTGCACACGCAAGCCGTGGAACGCTGTCCCAAGCTCGCGGTCGTCGAGATTCGTGTGCCGCTATTTCGACTGCGTTGGACGGAGGGCCAGGGGTTTGAAGGGGAAGGCATGGGGAGCGAGTGATGTGGAACGAAAACGAACGCCACTGAAAAGCCTCTGGTGGGGGCTGATATAAAAAAGGCTCATTGAGCCCACGTCGGAAAAGTAGAACCCTGTCTCTTATCACGAAAATTGCGTCACTCGATTGGCCACCTTAGGCCCCAATCGCTTCTTCTTAGAATCCATATTATATATACATAGACGGTGAATTTTGAACAGAATTATAATAGAGGTACATAGCCATGAATGGCCACTGGCATTGATATTCTAGCTCTAATATATATATTATATTTCTCGATATATATATATATATATATATATATATATGTATGTGTGTGTGTATACACCGAAATTTACAATTTGTTTTTGTTCAATTTATCCCCCCCTTTTTTAACAGCCTACTTCCATCCTTCCAGAGAGTATACTAAGCAACAGCTGACTGGAAATCTGGCGGTAATCGAAGGGACGTGAGAATATGTGTCTCATATGATCACCGGCGGCTCTTTCTCGTTGACAGCGCGCCGCCCAACCGCCGCGAGCCCCGAAGCTATTCTGGTCTGTGGTACCACGCTCCGGTATGGACAGCGCCCGTCCGGCGGCCCCCATTGGTTTAACGGGGCCCGCGTCGTGCCATGATGCTGATTTCCGCTGATCCTTCGTGAACGACTTGTGGCGCTGCCCGCAATTGATAATCGCGGCGCCGTTTAACTTAGCGTTTGGGCATGCGACGGGTTCTAATTGAGGACGGACCGCCGCTATGTATTTGCCTACGGACGCAGTTGGGATGCAGTCTTCTGCGCTCATGCCTGCTACACCGACAGATTGGCGGGAACCGCATCCACAACTCGTGTGCGGTGCAAGTGTCCAAGAATGACCACGATCGGCAGAGTGGGTAGTGATCTTCCGGCGCCACTGGCATGCTGGGCTTCTTGACTGGCAGAGTGTCGATCCGTCGCGTTCATTTAGCCGCGCGGCATGTCATCTACATCCCCATTCAGCAAACGGGCGCGGATCGCACACCCACACAGCTCCCGATTACACAAGCTCCCAAGCATGATGCCTGGAAAGCCCGAGGTGTCGGCTGTATACCCGACAGTATTAATACTGCCAGGGCATAGCTTGACAATTTCCCCTCTTCCCGCGGATCCCCCCACCTCACCTTCTCCTCGCCACCGTCTTCCGTATGGCCACAATCCAGCCAGTCGTCTTGCCGAGCATCCACGAGATGTTCCCTGAGCATCTTATGCACGGCAAGCCTTTAATCCCTCGTCACCGAAGTCACGCGTTCCCCACAAAGCCATACCTTCGCGCCACTCCACTGCCCAAGCCTCTCACCATCCTGCCCGTCGACCTGAAGGATTTACCCGTCCCTTTCTCTGCGCGGCGGACGTCCAGCTCTAACTCCCCTATAACCGCCCCACGTGTTCCGCCTTCCCCGTCCTCCTCCCGCTCCCGTTCGCATTCTCCCACCGGCAGCCACTCCGTCGGGAGCGCAGAAAACGCCGAGGCGGATACTCCGAGTCACGACCCGGAGGAGCCCCGACGAGCGCGAGCCACGCGCGGCGACAGACCGGAAGCACGTCTGCCTGCAGTGCCAGAAACGCTTCAACCGCCCCAGCAGCCTGCGCATCCACCTCAACACCCACACCGGCGCGACGCGTAAGTGCATCGTGCCCCGTCCCCCTTTTAGGCCGCTCACGTGCCGCCCACAGCATATCTGTGTCCGCATCCGGGCTGCGGACGCGCGTTCAACGTCAACAGCAACATGCGGCGCCATCTGCGGAATCACGGTGACTCCGCAACGCAAGTGGCAAGCCCGAGCCCTCCGATGACGGCGTCTGTCATCGCCTCGCCGTCATCCCCGCATTCGCCGCATTCAGAAGTCGCAACGCCGTCAAAGGGCCAGCGCTGGTACTTGCGCGGCGATAGCGGTTCCCCGCCGGCAGGTGCAGGAGCGACAGCGACGTCGCCGCGCTACAGCCCGTGGATATCGCATGCGGAGAGCGACATGCGGAGCGCGCACTGAGCCGGGCCGGCGCGCCACCATCAGTCCAAGGGTTCTGTCATTCGCACACCCACCGGGCCGAGATCCGTGGAATATTCGATTCATTTTGCTTCCCACACCTGCGGCGGGCGAGGCGCTTTATTTGTGGCGCCGGCGCCCGACGCCGCGCCCAATTCTCACATTTGACTGTTTTACGCGCTGTTTTGTTCATTGAAATATATACTTACTTAGAAGTCAGCTTGTATCTGTGTTGTATCAATAATCTGTGTCCCACTGTATCTTGCCATGCTATGTGTTCAAGAATTCAAGAAATAGTGTAATTCTAAAGTCAGGGGCAAAATTTATGAAAAATTTTGCGGCTGCTGATGCTTTTTCCGACTCTCATGCAACCCCTCCCGGGCCTGCTATATTGGGTAATATGCCCGCCATGTGTAGATGCAATCAAAGGTGGCACCAAATTTGACGTTTGTAAAACTTTCATGAAATGGTATATGTACACCTATCTATATATGTACCTACACCACAAACCTGTAGTGATATCTGGGGTACATATATCCCTAGAGAATATCCTCAGATATTAGCACTATATATCAGACTAATGTCCTGAAAATATACTGTGAATGCCAAGTCAGTCAACAGTCATTTGACATTGACCTATGATATACAGATAATATTCTCTTCAATAATGCCCTGATTGTTGTTATGAGATCCCACCGAAATATTGATTCATCTCTTATAAATATTATAGCTAATCTTTCACATATGTCTAGGCCAATATTTTGTAGACTGTTCTGATATCAAGAATATGCAGGAAGAAGATATACATTAGAGTATACGACATAGGTTACTAATCAACAGCTATGCCCTCCACATTTCCCTGGGTCTTATAATTCTCCTTCTCACTGTCAGGGGAACCTCTCTTTCAGCCCCTCGGAGACGATTCCGGTCCGATTCCGGTTCCGACTCTGGTCCGGCCCTCCATCTCGCCCGCACAATCACCAATCCGTCAACGCCCTTCCAACGGTCACCCTGGGACCTCACCTGCGACGCCGCCCAAGCCTTCTGTGCCCGACAGCGGCAGCTATGGACAAGCAGTATACAGTCAGCTTCCTAGCAGGCGGACCCTTAGAGTTTCTTCTCTTTGGATCCTCCCCTGCTAGGACCTTGATCTCAGGCCTCCGGGGTTGCCCTTACACTCACCCTCCTCATCATCATCTGACTCGACTGCCTGATTACGTGTTCTCTTGTGCCCAGTGATAGTGGGGTTTGTCACCTTGGCATTCTTGACCTTGGGAGCTAACTTCTGGATCCCTTGCCACCACACAGACCAATATTAAGATAAAATACCACTAATGAGTAAATACACTACATTCTCAGTATTATGTTCAGTTGGAATTGGGAATGGACATACTAGAGGCTGAGTTTGGAGGCTCTGGATATATAAATCCTCTACCGGGCTAGATATTCCATTTTATATGACGGAATGGTAACTGCCATGATTATATCATAGGATGGTGATCAAATACCATGGTTTAGAAATAATACTGGTGAGAATGGTAGTTATGAAGACTTTTTGGAAATTTGTCATACTTATCGCTCACAATAGTTGTTTATACTTGAAAATAGATAACTTTCATTTGTGTGACATATGTGACTACCCATGACTCCTTAGCTGCTTGCCTAGAATTTTTTTTTGTGAACGTCAGACTATGTGATAAATATGACATACCCGTCATTTTGTTTATTCAGTATACTAATACGGTGCATGTGACCACCTGTTGAACACTGGATCAGTGGTGCTGTCATCCAAAAAAAAAGATGACCACTGTTCTTTTTTTGGTAATAACCATACCATAGTATTCCAAGATTGTGGGAAATGAAAGCTAGATATCTTGAAATATCTAAGGAATTAGTAAAGGTTTTCAGAAATGTTACCTCGGAAAAGGTCACCCGGCAGATCAGCAGTCATCACACCCATATAGGGAACGTTACCACCTGATGAGTCTCTTTAGACAAAACACCCAGCGTCATGGGTCCCCGCCTGTCTTCTCCTACTCTCCCATGTGATTGCATCAATATATATTATAATTTTGTCAGCATAGCATGACCATGCTCCCCATCAGCACATCCGTCGGAACCTTAGTGGATCAATGTATACTACTGCCCCTTGTTAAAGCATGCAAGCTCATAGTCCTACCTCCAGCTTCAACCACCCAATTTTCATCTTTCAGAGCAGTTTTGAGGCTTGTCAGTCAGCGGCAGAGCCTCTGGCCCGGTCTTCTGAAGTGGTGAAATCTGGTCAAAAAGTGATACACCGTGGGAAATTTGAGTCTGAAGTGATAAATTAATGTTTTTTTGCAGCTGATTTCCAAAAAAAAAAATGTCTCAAATCTTGAAAAAAAAATGACCCATCAGACAAGTGGTCACACACACTGTAGACTAGCTGGGTAAAGCCCCAGCTTAAAATATTGCCTGAATTTTTTCTTGAAGATCATATGTTCCAATTTGTCTATGAGCTTATGGAATCTCAAGACTAATGTTATGTCTGTATACAAGTATAATCATTTGTGCCTGTGTTATGGTAATAAAAAAAGAATTTGCAGCACCTATAGAGCCACTCGCCTGTGGCTTGCGACTGGTAGGCAGTATCCAAGGGATGCTCACATGAATTTCACATGACATCAATCAAAACACATGACTTTTTGCATGACTTTATTAAAAGGTGATATTTGCGTTCATCTTTCTATAGGAAAAGAAAGGTTTTAATTTACCATGTATATGTATATTAGTTCATAATCTCGGTCCCAGATCATTTGATAGTGGTGGGGGACATGCCGGACGTGATGCAGGGATGTACCATCACCCATCACACCAGAGAAATCAGCCCTTGAAGATCTGGTGCAATTTCACCAGGCGGGTTGTGCGTGCTTATCAGTTGCTTATCAAACAGACCAAAATTCCTTGCTTTCTTGCTGTTACGGCTTTATTTACCCCATTGAGGGCAGACTTACTTAGTCGATCTATACTTATACCTATTCCCCCAAGAAAAAATAGTATCTTCAACATCTTTGACTAATTTTTTCACTATTTGACATCATTGGCCCATGTAATAAGGCCCATGACATGTGAATTGGCTGCTAAAAATTTGCATGACTGCTTGAGAAACCCTTGCCTTGAGTATACACCATGAATTATTGACACTCTGAGGCTTATGGGCCACGACTGAGCCATTCCAAGGTGACCACCAGTAAATGTACATTGAAACGCAAGAAAACAGCACACCAGCACTAACAAAACTCCAACACAACACACAAAATCAGCACACAAACACAACAGAACACAAAACCAAAGAGCCTAGTACCAACACACGCGGGCCGAGTCTCGGATCACTCGGATCACTCGGATCAGATCGGATCAAGAACGGATCACGTCGGAGTTTGAAGTGGGTGGGTAGTTTACTGATGCGCGCAAGTACGGGGGTTCCAGCTAAAGTATATAGCTGTTGCAATCCAAATAAACACGTTTAACGGCTCGGAATGATGGGGTTGGGGTGATTAGGTAAGCGAAACAACGGGCGGGACCAAGATCAACAGTGGGCGGGACGGCGGGCGGGTACTCGGAACAACGGGACGCAATGACAGAGGTTCTCCAATACAAACGGCGATAGTGGACACGGCGATAACGGCGACAACGATAACGGAACGGCGATAGCAGACAAAACCCGCGCAGAGCCGGGCACTCGAATTCTCTACCCTAAAGCCTACAAACGCTGCAAATATATACACCTTGGACCACAGCCTTACCACTGCCCACCGGCGCGTCGAATGGCCTATCTAGCCTGTGCCCACAGCACGCACAGCGCGTACTGCTTGCCCTCTTACGCGTCTGGCCCTTTTCTGCTTACGCGGGCTTGCTTACGCGCGCGTTTCACCTTTGCGACGCGTCTGGGACGCGCCTCGACGGCGGCGGTGCCGGCGTTAGCCACCCCCGGCGATCCTCTATGGTCGTCCCGACTGGATGGACACGCGCCAGACGCGTCCTGTCCTCCCCAATAGCCTCCCATGGCTCACCATCCTCTAGGTCGCGGAACGGAGCTCGGTGCGGCCTTCGGACCGGCGGCTACCCAATCGGGAAACCCCCGCTCCGGTCCGGCTGTGCGGCGGCGTCTGCCAGCGAAAATGGCGCATGCCAATTCACAATGGCTGTGGTCGGGCTGTGTGGCCCGATCCCACAGCTGCGCAAATCTCGCGCGCGTCAACATCATCAGATATCAGCACACGGAATCATCTCTGATCAATTTGCACCAGATGTTCGTGAGTGGCCTTATCCATTACCTCTCCCATCAAAAACTACCCTGGCAACATCAAGTGTATGTTCCAGCGAGCTTCAGTCCCCCCCCCCACTCACGAACGTCTGGAATCGAGACTAATTGGTTCAGGTTGAACATCCTCTCACCCTAGTGGTTAATAGTCCAATATATATCATATGTAAGTCTTCCTCTTCAACTGACAGTATCATTGTCAAGTTACAACAGGTAACAATCAACCTGATCTATAAAAACACTACCATGCCAGCATTGACAGAAAGTCATGTGGAAACATGTGAAACTCACGTGACCACCTGCTGGCTGCGAGCTGCAGGCGAGTGGCCGTGTGGGCGCTGCAAAAACCTTTTGTTATATTCCATGCCACAGGCACGGACATATATGCTTGTCACTATGAAAAAGAGGACCATTCATAGTATGAGACAAGCATAGGAGTAGTACTGGTTAGTGTACAAGCTGGTTTTGTACAAAGTTCATAAATTTAGGACTGATATATAAGTTGCTAGAATGATATATTATAAGATATTATGATGAAGCCATAATAATAATATAATAATATCATAATATAATATAATATAATATAGAATAATTTAATATTTGTTCCAGCCCCCAGCCATAGTATAATTGTAATAATGATATGGAAATCATCATATAATAATGGGAAGCATGCCAGCATCGGGCTCGGGCCGTATAAGAACAACACATAAGTATTGGTTGTTTGCTCGAGCCTCGAGCTCAGGCTGTATCTTCAAGGAAACTAGCAAAATCTCAAATGAGGGCGGTGAGAATATGGCAACAAGTTACAAGCTAAAGGTTGATTGTTTGTAAGTAACAACTTCCACTGGCACCGGGCCAATATACAAAGTATTACAAACAATCAACCTTTATCGCTGACAAGGGAGAAAGCACACTTGCTCGGACAGCGCCATAAGTGGAACAGCCTGCGGCACATAAATTGCGGAATTCCGCCTCACTCTACAAGTCGCCTACACGGTACATAGCCTAATATCCCCTCGGCCGGAACTCGGAGCGCCAAATAGCCTCGAGCTCCGCCAACGCCTCATCAGAGACATCCGTCCACCCCTCCGTCTGCTCCTCTTTCCCCAGCCATTCCCCGCCGACGATATCGAAGCAGTGCCCCGCCCAAACACCCTGGCAGATGTTGCCGTCATAGAGCATCGCTGTCGAGTCCACGCTGCTCCAGCATATCCGGCAGTGCAGCAAGTCCCCCAACGTCGTGTCCCATAGCTTGAGACCTGGCCCGTGGGGGTCGAACTCGGCGCGCAGCTCGTCGGACCCGCGGAAACGCTCGCACATTTCCACGAGCGCCGCCTCGCGGACGTACACTTGCAGGGTGAGGTTGCGGAGGACGGCGGTGCGAGGCGCGAGGGGCGGGTCGCACGTGATCGCGACGTCGAGCAGGCCGTCGCAGACCCACATCGCGTCGCCTTGGTACTTTGCGTGTCTGAGCACAGTGTTGTGCACCGCCCCAGCCGTGCGGTGCACCCACGATCTCTGTCCGCACTCCGTCCACCACCAGTCCGGGATCGGGCCCCTGTCGCCGCCGTCCTCCTCGTCGCTGTCGCTGTTGTCCGCCCCGGTCGGTCTCCCCCGGCGCATCTCCGCGCGCTCCTCCTCCGACAGTATATGATCCGGCGCCTCCCGGAGCAGCATATAGTCGCCGAGACACGCGATGCGGTCGCCCGCCCAGTTGCACGTCTCCGCGGCCTGCTGCACAAAGAGAGTGTACACATGTCGGCGCGCGACGGCCCACAGCGTCTGGCACGTCATCCCCAGCATCAGCCGCTCCACCACGCCATGAATCGTCTCGAATATTGCGTCCAGCAGCTCCACAGGCAGCGCCACAATCCCCGTCGGCGCCACACTAGTACTCTCCCGGACCCCTATTAGCACCCATCTGCTTCGGGAAGTGGAAAGAGACACACCTGGAGCGCTGCGCCAGCCGCACCCCCCGCCCCCATTGATCCAGCATCACATGGGCCCCTGGGATGTACGGTTTGATGCACTCGTCCAGCGGCCGATGCGCCACCTTCCGCAGAAAGAGCAGCAGCTCCTCCCCGTTGCCCTCAAACAGGATCTCCCCGAGCTTTGCGCCATACTTCTGCTGCCGTTTCGTCAGGTTTGACATCCACCAGCCCTGGCCGCCCATTGTTGTCGGTGGAGGAGGAGGACAGAGGAGGGAGAGGGAAAAGGAGAGAGAGTCACCGGCGTCACACAGTGAGTTGAGTCATGCGTGACTGTGAATCATGCCGCCAAGCGAGACACCCTCTCACAATTGCATCTGAGCTGAAGTGTTTGCCGGGCATTGGCCGGGCAACTAGCGAGGGGCGGAGAAGTATCCTCATCTGGGGAAATAATCAGTGATTGATTCTCATTGTAACAGCGGAATCACATTATATTTTCTATCTGCAAGGACGTGCTAGGAGGGTGGAAAGCAATCAAGCCAGCGTGTACATCGGCGGTTGCGTATCGACATCAGTGCCCAGATTACTACGATGCAACAGCGCCGCTTCGAGCTCTCGAACGCGGTTGCGAAGGAGATCGTTCTCCGCAAGATACCTTGTCTCGCGCACTTTGCGTAGCGCATATTCGTCATAATCATGATAGTCGCTGCGTTGCGAGACACTGCTACTTGTGAATGGTGTGGGATTTCTCGTGCGTGCGTGAGAACGGGTGCGGCGGCGACGGTGAAGCAAGATAACGGCCAATAGGAGCGCGAGAAGGACAAAAAAGACTCCGGCCACGATGCCGCTGATCGCGCCGCGCGAAAGTGTCGACGTTTTCATCAATGGAATGGAGGTGTCCCAAGAGGAGGTACCGGCGGGGGAAGGGGACGGCAATGATGATGATGACACCGACGATTGAGGAGTGGAGGAGCCAAAAGACGACGACCCGGGCTCAGGATTAGCCATGTTTGTTACTGGCGAAGTTATGGTCATTGGGGGAGGGCTGTTGAGTAGAGTCGAGGTTGACCTCGTCTGCGTGGTCTGCACAGTCACCGTAGATACCAGTGTCGTAATAGTTGTCGTGTGAGCTGCCGCCGCTACCACGGGACAGCTGCGCGGGCCAGAAATCAGCGCGCCGTCCTACATGGATGGTAAACTCGCAGGAAACGTCAGAAACAGATGCGGCACGTACTGACACGGCGTAATCGCACTCGAGTGGCTCGCCGGAAAATCCACTGCCCAGCGGCGGGATATAGAAGCACCTGAAGGTCGATGCCCCGTGATCGCTCTGGAAGGGATCTAGAGGGTCCCCGTTGTTGTTGTATGGCGCACACCCGGGCCTGCGGGAATGTTGCATGAGGGAGCGTGTTCTGAGCTACTTGCGCAGTGGTTGCGTCCAAAGGCAAGACATGATTGGGGCATGCTGTGAGTCTGGAGAATGATGGGTTGCCGACAGAGGTTGACAGGCTCGTGAGCAAACGCGACAGTGGGTGACCAGAGGTGACGCTTTCGCCGAGGGGCATGTATGGCGCCGGTTTGACCGATCCTCGACGCGAACGAACTAGTAAGGAGACGGACGATAGACACAGAGCATGAAGTGCACCACATTCATCCAAGATGGCCTGCCGCCTGCGCGCTCAGGCGGTGCTCTTCTCGTCGAATGGGGTGTATTCTAGGTGAGGGCTCATTGTGCTGCACGAAACGGCGCAGCACCTATACGGGAAGGCAGATGGAAGGAGATGGAAGGATTGAAAAGATGAGTCATCAGCATCGTCATGGTAACGTGACAAAAATCGTCACTCGGTCACGTTTCCTTCTCACGCTTCTCGATCTTGTCCTAAACAACGGTGACTCTCAAAGACCACCAGCTCTCCATGATCTCACTTTTCACATACCAGGTATGGCACTACAAAGTGGCTCTCAAAGGACATTTTCAAAGATTATTAAATCAAGATATAAAATACCTGTACATAAATCAACTTTTATCAATATAGAAAGAACCCACCTGTTTAGCCCACAACACACTGTACATTATCAGTGGCAATGACGCAGGTTGCCACTGATAAGCCCCAGTGTTATCAGCAATTCCCCAAGTGGCGAATAATTGTTGGTCAAGGGGGTGAATAATTGTGAAGTGAAGTCCAAGCAAGTCCAGCATGTAGGGGTGAATAAAGGTGAATAGTACGATCTAGGCCATTTTCACCAAGTCTCCCGAAGTCACACTATGTGACATGTGACACAACATCCCAAAAAGGAACTTTTGTCAATAGATAGTAGAGCTGGTAGTTTTAGTGACTATGTGATATGGTTGTATACTGCAACATAGAGTGATACATGACAAACTTCCAAAAAAGGAATTTTTTGCTATTGGACAGTGCAGTCATCAGAGAATGTCACAGATCGTCACAAAACCAAAGTTGTATATTTTGTCTATACGGACAACTTTCATTAAGTAACCTATAGTTACAGCTTAATGATGGTGTCTGGACTAGTCAATCACCAGCTGAGATATAACTGATAACCCTCTATCTCTATAACTGAACAGGCCACAGAGCTGATTGAAGTACTACTAGGGATATCTGGATGGTGGGGTCAATGTTCCTATCAATAAAATATTATCAGGATATCCATAGTAGCTAATGATTATCTATCAGACATTGTAATCTAGCCATATCTCCACCAGTTCTCCATGGATTCAGATGATTGTTTCATTAGTAGGCAGGTGGTCATATTGCCTTTACACCGGGCGCAATAGCAATGGCGGCTGTCAGATCGGAGCATGTGCAGCAGACCCAACGGCGGTTTGCACGTCGGACGTAAATGCAGTAGTAGCCTCTTTGTAGTCTCTTTGTTCATTTTGCCTCATGTAAACCATATGCACCATGAAAGGGGAACATGGGTAAATTTGAATATACCAGCTGTCGTCTTTGTTCAGTTGCAGAGACCAATAATTATTAAAAGCAAGTGAAAGCTTATTCGAGGGCCATTGCATCCATGGCCCCCGCAACTACATACCGCAGGAAACGTAAGACAACCGACACTGCCGATAACGCAGGCCAAGGTCGCGAAAAGCGTGCTCGGCAGCCGGCAGCCGGTCCGAGCACTGCTTCTGCTTCTTCTTCTTCTTCTCATCCTTCCACGACTGCCTCTGGCCCACCAATTAGCCCAAGGCCTGCAGCTGCTTGTCGCCGTCCCAAGACTAAAGACGTCAAGGACATTGAGGAGGCTACTGCAGTGTGTCATCCTTCCAGCAAAGACCATTCTCACCGCTCACTTTTCCATAGGCAGGATTTAGGCGCTGGGTTCATGTACTCAGTGGGGCAATCACACAGTCCTCGGCGCTTGGTCGCGCAACGGACGAGATGGTCTGGTTCGAGCGGCGGCACATGCCTGTCGAAGACATGCAGGCCCATGTTGATCAGCTTGTCGTCCAAAGTAAGCAGCCTATTGCTGCTGCTGCTTACCGTGCGACACGCGTTCTGGCGCAGATCCAGGAGGCAAATCAGGACAGTGCTGGACGACAAGCCAAGGGGACAAATGCGTTGGCCCTGGGCCAGATTCCACATTCGTGGCTTGCCCACGCCTTTACAGTCATTGCTGCTGCTGGGCTGCGTGCTTTTCTGCCCGACGTCTTTGGCCCACTCCGCTCCCCATATAACGAGCTTCACTGTCTTCTCGCCATCTCCACATTCCAATCGGCTGCTCGTGCAATGGTCTTCACTGAGCAATCAGTTTCTTCGGTGCTGGCGATGGACGGAGTCTTCCTCAGCGACATATTCTGGAAATTTCTTCAGTGTACGCTGGGCCCCGATAGTCACAGTATCGAGAACGACCCCGATAGTCTTCACCTGCGGTAATCAAGAAGCGTCGTGATGGGGTGCGTGTTGCTATTCTCTTCGCTATATTTTGTTGACCTCGCTCTTCGTAGTTGTGTGCCCGTCGCCTGGCGATAGCCGCACGGAAGAATTTCCGCCCGACCGGTCCTTCGCATCGTTGCCCAGCCAGCCTGTCACTCGGATGATGAGGACATCCCACCTGAGCAGCGGGACCGACGGGAGAGACATGCACCTACTCGCGTTGCACGCGAGAAGCCGGGCCGAAGTCTTTGTGTCGAGGCGCTGTTCCGCTATCTTGACCACGAAGGCAAGGTCAAGTGGGAGTCAAATCCCTCAGGCAAAGCGTAAGACTTGGTGGACTTGCCTATATATTGCTTTACTAACAGATGTCATGCAGGCCACCGAACCGCAAAGTTGTTGATTGACTGGAGCCCAGTCATCTCTCGCGCATTCTACCCCCCGCCATCTACTATGCCCAGGGTCAGGACGACCAAGAGCAGGAACTCATTCTCCCAATGGACTACTTCGAACCTGCCTTCTTCAACGCAATGGACCTGCATGATCGCGCCAATTACTCTGATGAGACCACAATTGCCTTGCCCGACATCGCATACTGCCGCAGCACAGAAGGCTTCGACATGTGGAAAGACAAGAAGACCTCGATATTCATGCACCAATTCGGCAACACAGTGCGCCAGTGTTACAATGTCCCGACCGACGAGCAAATGGCAGAAGAGAGAGCCCGTCGGGACCACGAAGCAGAGGGTGAGCCAGAGATTAGCGACATGGAGGATTCAGATAGTGAAGAGGACGAGGATACATCCACTCCGCCCCCGCCCCCGCCCCCGCCCCCACCTCCTCCAGCACAGTAAATGCGACGCAGTTCTCCCATTAGATGTAGAAATTGATTTGTTGTGGTGTTTACAGTACATATCTCTTATAATTTCGACTTGTCCTTTATTCAGAACTTGTTGTGCATGCCCAAAAATATCTGTGGAGAAGAAATTGGTCAGGAGTAGGACGGCGAAGGTTGGAGACGAACATTATCTCAAGACTTCCCTATCCCCACCCTTCGCCTCCATATCAACGCCAAGGCCGCAACGACTAGCGTTTTCTCTCTGCTCTTCTGCCGCTTCACCACCTCCATCTCGAATCAGTGGTGCACCAAGGCTGTCTACTATGGGGTTATAGCTCAATCAGTGATCTTCAGGATAGCCGTGCTTGGAGAGATATGCAAGACTATCTGACTTCCAAATATAATTTGGTCTTTAGGCTATATATTGACTGGTTCAATCCTCTAATGAACAAGACAGCAGGTGAGCTCAAATATAAATTGTTTATAGAATATTTAATTTTTGCTATGTCTT